AGATTGCATGTGAGTGAGAATCAGGTGATTAACGATTAACAATGTAAGTGGTGCGTTATTTTTGCAGGCCACTGTATTTATAAATTTCCTTTTCTACACTATTACTTTGAATTCACATGTGCTTTAATATTTGTATCATTACTTATTTTTTGTTTGTTTTTATGCTTTACACGTCATCATTTAATAACCTTTTACTAACCATACAAGTTCGAATGATTATTGTTAAGTCGTCGTTGAATCAGGTTGTACAACAGAAAATTCGATTTAACGAGTTAGATTCACTAATAACTGTGCCTGGAAAAAACTAAATTTTATCGGGTTCAGTATATCTAATGGATTTTTTGAAAAAATGAACATGTATTTCATTATCATTTCTTTGTAATATTAGCATAGGCATATTACGTAGATATTAATCAAAGTAACGCTGATACGTATCCGTTACTCCTTTAATTTTTTTAATATACATGTAGATACACAAAATATACATTTTTTGTACATGTACATGTATTAACGGAAATCCTAAAAAAGAATCTGTCTCTTTGTCGCAAAACCCAGTAATCCCATTTACATGTAAATAAAAATCTCCATTAAATTTGTCTCAAATATGCGAATCTTACGGTAGTAAATGGATCACTTGAGATATTGGGTTTCAAAGTGGTAGATTCGTTTTTGGGATTTCCGATAATATATTGTAGAGGTGTGTATTTCTGGTAAAGTAAATGACTTTACATTAAGTCATTTAACCTTTAATTCAGAACAGTTTTAAAATTAAATTAAGGTTTGAAACAATATAAAATAATAAAGAGATAATAAACATGATATAAAATGTTTATTGTATTATGCATTGCACCACGATTCATAAGAACGAATTTGAATGGTTATTATTACTATGAAAATAAAATTACAAAATATGCTTAATATATGACAAACGAACAAAAATAGCGCGCGTAAATTAAAATCAAACTTCGTGCCATTAAACATTTAAATGCTAAAAATAAACTAATTGATAAATCTCAACTTCATATATGCAAGTGCAAACTTTTCATTCTCACCATCAAGCAAGTTATACTTGTCGTATTCAATTTTTCGACCATGGACATAATAACCCGTTTCACATAAGACTATTTCTAAAGCAGGTTCAGATCCAAATACTGGTCTAAAGCTCCATAATTCTTCATATTTTTTCCTAATTGATATCTTCTTATTGAATCTTTTTTCTTCTTCAGATCAAATGAAAAAAGAAAACTAGAAGTCAAGTTAGAATTGGAAATATCTGTTAACCAAGATGTAATATCGCATCTCCAAGATAAAGGATTGTAACCACCAATTATTTTTGAATGGTCTTTCAGTCGTATAGCTGTAACTGTTGGACCTTGGTCGTCACATAACCGATGAAAATTAGCGGAACTTAATCCATCACGACTACCACGAAATAATAAATTTATGTTCATTTCACCCCTTTTGGTTATGTCCTCGTTCTTGATCCACATTTTAATCTTTAGCTTCTTTCTTGTCTTTGATATTGTTAAGATATATAGTAAAGAGTTTTGCATTTGGGCTATCAATAAATTTAAATCACATTATTACTTGCCTAAAATAATTGAGAGAATAATGGAGAATGAGAATAAGAAAAGAAAGTGAAAATAAAAGACATGGCAAACACATGCAGTCAATCCCTTTTTTGATCAGGCGGAATCACTTATCAATCCTCGTATATTGGAATGCGTTGTTAAATGGTGTTAACATTTCGAAACTGAATGATGTTTTTCTAAATCTCGTATTATATTTTCTGGGAATATTTGTGAATACGGCAAGACTTTATTGAGGAAATCCACATATTTAATATGAAAGAGTCTGATACATGACAAACAATTTTGAAGAATTAATTCTAAATGATCGAATTCATTTTTTGTCCAGGTCACAATTGGGGATTTCAATTGAGTAGATTGTGCAATACCCCATTCAAGAACTTTATCCCAAATTTCGATTTCTGTAAGTTTCAAATTATCCATTTGAAGGAATGAAACAAGAATATGTTCTTCAAGTTGAGCAAATTTAGGAGAGTCGAAGATTAAACCAGGATTATTACATGCCGCATCTATGCAATGCTTTTGCAAAAGTACAAAATTGTTGTACTCAAAAGTAATTTGAATGACCGTGTAAAAGTTTCCAGAATAGCTGTTTCGAAATAATACATGTATTTTGGGATATACTCGACCAAATCATCCAACAGCAACTCATCCGCAGCAATCATTACATCCAGCACTGTGAATAGATCGAATTGATCTCTCCACTATAAAAATATCTATAGGTTCATAAATCATGCAGTTTAATTATCGTTATCATTATTTGATGATTACTCCTTTCAACAATAGAAATTTACCTTAATAATATTTAATAATATTTCAAAAATTTCAGGAGTGATATTTGGTTTTTGGAAACTAATCAATTTATTTATATCTCTTTTGGCCCAGACGTCCGATAAAGCTATCGCAAAATATGGTGATTGTGCTACCAAAATTGCCAAATGTGCTAAAAAAGTTTTTTGTTCATTTGGTTGTTCGCCAACTGTTATCAGGATGTCATGAAACTTCGAATTTTCGTATAGTTTAACGAGATTTTTGTTATGGGATTCCAATAATATATCTTTAGACATTCTTTGTATTGTGAGTAATTAGCTACCTATCGATGAAGGGGAGTGACTTTTAGCAAACGTATCTTACTGTTACTGCAACATACACGTAGTCGATTTCTAATAAAAACGTTGTAGAATTCGCACTGTATGATAGATAAAATTCGTACTGTATGGTTGATTCAATCCAGGGAGTAATGACTCTATCATTACGTATATCGTACCGGTGTTACGTCGGAACTGCTTGTTTTAGAACATGTATGTCCTATTTGTAACCTTGGAATGCATATGCTCATTGATAAGTACATGCACTTGGTACGTAATCCTTTTACCATTATTCCGTTAAATCTTCAATTATGGCAAGATCAGCCGACTGTGCTACATTTTTCAGCACAATCGATCTTTCAGCGCAATAAATATTATACATGTTCTTCAGCATAATCACTTTTTTAGCGCGTAATCCAATGCATATTACAGCATAACTTTCAGCATAATTCTTTTTTTTACATTTTAATATTTTATTATGTTGCTTGTCTTATTTTCATCGTTGTAATAAGATTACATATCGTTAATAAACTTAAAGCAGTCTTTCTTTAATTAAATGGACAAAGCTAACGAAATTTGTATAAAGAATGGCTTTTGGGCTATCAATAAAAAAGAAGGAATAAAATTGTGTACAGTTTTCTCTCCAAGTAATAAGACTGGTAAAATCCCTTGTGATATCCTTTGAGAATTGAATAACGGTTAATTCCCTTGAAAAGGCAACTTAATTGACGGTTAGGTCCTTTGTTCCAGAAAAGGCAAGTACATCATTGAAAATGATTGAATGAATTGAATAACTGTAATGAAAAATAAGGCTTTTAGCTAGAAAAAGTCTTATGTGAAACGGGTTATTATGTCCATGGTCGAAAAATTGAATACGACAAGTATAACTTGCTTGGTGGTGAGAATGAAAAGTTTGCACTTGCATATGATGAAGTTGAGATTTATCAGTTAGTTTATTTTTAGCATGTAAATGTTTAATGGCACGAAGTTTGATTTTAATTTGCGCGCGCTATTTTTGTTCGTTTGTCATATATTAAGCATATTTTGTAATTTTATTTTCATAGTAATAATAACCATTCAAATTCGTTCTTATGAATCGTGGTGCAATGCATAATACAATAAACATTTTATATCATGCTTATTATTATTTTATATTGTTTCAAACCTTAATTTAATTTTAAAACTGTTCTGAATTAAAGGTTAGATGACTTAATGTAAAGTCATTTACTTTATCAGAAATACACACCTCTACAATATATTATCGGAAATCCCAAAAACGAATCTGCCACTTTGAAACCCAATATCTCAAGTGATCCATTTACTACCGTAAGATTCGCATATTTGAGACAATTTAATGGATAATTTTATTTACATGTAAATTGGATTACTGGGTTTTGCGACAAAGAGACAGATTCTTTTTTAGGATTTCCGTTCGTTAATACATGTAAACGTATATTTTGTGTATCTACATGTATATTAAAAAAATTAAAGCAGTAACGGATACGTATCAGCGTTACTTTGATTAATATCTACGTAATATGTCTATGCTAATATTACAAAGAAATGATAATGAAATACATGTTCATTTTTCAAAAAATCCATTAGATATACTAACCCGAAACAATAGATAAAATTTAGTTTTTTCCAGGCACAGTTATTAGTGAATCCAACTCGTTAAATCGAATTTCCGTTGTACAACCTGCTTCGACGACGACTTAACAATACTTATTGTATGGTTAGTAAAAGGTTATTAATAAATGATGACGTGTAAAGCATAAAAACAAACAAAAAATAAGTAATGATACAAAGAATAAATAACTAAATTCATTTACATTTTCCAAGACTTATATAAAAGTAAAATAGAATGAATTCGATAAATTTGGGGAGACCTCCAAAAATTGAATAGAATGAGAACAAACACAGTTGCATATACATGTACATGTATATGTAATCAATTTTCCCATAAATAACAAGACGTCATAATTTTCACAAGCATGCAAACGCTAAATTATTTTTCGTTTGTTTGTTATTAGTGTAGCCACACGGAGTTGATTTGAATTTGTTTATTTTCTAACGTTATACAGATAAAGTGTTATGAAATTCCCAATGAATTTTTGCCATGGCAAAACAAAATAACCTCCGAGTTAAATTCCTCATTTACGGATCGTACTTATCGGTCATAGCATGATTCTCATGATAATAAAAATCAAAATTAATTCAACAAAGGAGACTTTGAAACATTATTATTCTGTTTTTAAATTTTGAGTAAAGCCATAAATTTAATCTTCATCTCCCAATTAGTATAAATATGGGAAACTTCCCTTTATTCGCGACTCATTAGCATTAATCAAAAAGAATTAATTCTTTTGATAAATAAAAAATAAAGAAAAATGTCTGACATAATAACAGCTATTACTATATCATTTTTAGCAACTGGATTAATTTATGGATCTCTTATGTAAGTTTTTGTTCATTTTTCTTATTAAACGATGAGAAATGCTTTTATAGTAGAGCTTTAATTTCCCATTATATGTAAATATGTAAATGTTATTATAATATAAGAGAGCATTCACATGTTAACTCTCAAACTCTTCACTAGCAACCATAACGGCAACAAAAAATCAGATTTATCATCTGTTTCTTCTATCAGCAAGGACAAAATTAATAGAAACAGTATCGATGTATCCATTGTTTCCTCGACCTTGCCCAAAGAAGCGAAACCTTTACCAGGACCAACTTCTATGCCAGTCCTTGGAAATTTACATCAGTTATCTGATCCATTGCATATGACTTTTAATCAAATGGCTCTCAATTTTGGCTCGATATTC